GTTTCGTATCTCATACAAGACTTTTATGCGCAAAATACTCTTTGTAGGAATTTAAGTCACGCAAAGCGTCGCAACGTATTCATCCCGATGTTAACTCGCATTACATAATCGACTGCGGATTTCGCACGCGATTACGCGAATAATTGTTCGGGCCTTGAACACGCCTCGATCTCTTTTCGTTAAACATGGGTAGTTACACGCGCTGTAATTTAGCAGGTTGATTTCCGCGGTAAACGATGGCGACGCTGCCAGACGAGCGGCCGTAATTGTCGATAAGCGTCGTTACAAAAATAAATTGGATCTCTATTGGGCGTGGAAATCAATATTTCTGGCTTTTCGTGACCTTAAGGTCGACGTTTAATTATCGACTCCGTCGCGTTTCACGTCGAGTCAGTGCGGTAAAAGTGACGAATTCCTAACATCGATTGGCATCCGTAGCAGCACGCGTGAGCAGAATGCTATTCATTCCAATCTCGGCGAATCATAATCGATGACACTATATTCTCCCATATATATGCCATTATTAGACGACTCGTAACCATTTTATACACTCGCGTGAACTTGAATTGATCTTGCCGTGTAATGACGTTGCTAAAGACACGACGCTGAAAAGTAGAGCGATGTACATCGGTGGGAAAACGATGGCACGATAAAAATGAATGGTGAAATTAATTGAAAAAGCAAGAGTAACCTTTCGCAGCAGTCACGATTCGTATAAGGACTTCCATACTATTGTCACAAGTGTGATTAGGCTTGCATTCCTTTCGCGAGTATCCGTTTTGTTAGGACACGCGATACTTTCACTCGTATATCTTACACGTCGCAAATTTTTCGGCCGCGATTACTGTAAGTTAGCATAGCATTGTCGTAAGAGCGATGAGACTCGCTTCGTGAGAAACGACAAATTCTCGGATTCAATTTCTGCATTATTTTACATGAAAAATGAAGGACGAGGAAAATTCTCTTTCGACCGAAAGAAATCCTACCGTAAAAAACATCTTCTTACGTAATATTGTACAGACAGTCAGATAGAGATTCTAAATTTAATTCGATAACTTGGAAATAATGTGAAAAAACTTTTTAATTGCATCTCTTTAGTGAGAATTCTTTCATTTAGAAAGTTCGAACGGACGGCGAAAAAGTACATCACATTTTGTAAAGATTTAATTACGGACTATATTATTATTTTCGATTGCATCATATAGATATTATCGGTATAATGCTGCTATATATCTTTTATGAGTCAATTTAGCTTTTAGTTAATTCACGGATGAAAGCCCGCGCTGCAAGTTAGATTATTATCGTTATCATCAATTTACCTTATAGCCGATCATCTCAAATTACTATAAATGCAGTACAACATATTTTCATCGCTTTTGATCGCTTCGTTCGATTCGCGTCGTGCGTAGCACGGGACGCACTTCGTGCACGCGGAAACTCTGCACCTGAGCGATCTTCGTGCCGATTGTTATTATTGGTGAACAAAGCAAAAAATCCATGTTCCTGGTACGATTATCGATCCCTCGAGCCGAAGAATGCACTCAGCTTGAATTAAAGGACACTCTGACAACTTTCGGAAAGTTTTCTTGCAGCCTCAGCTCAAAATTGGCCTGACCTCGCGCTGTGTTCGTTTTTCTTGGAAACGCATTCTCATACCGGGGTCTGCCCTTTAAAAGAGGCTATTCCTCCGGAAAGCCTCGACAGGTCGATCAGCTTAGATGCAGTTTCACAGACGGTGATCACGCTGACCTGCTCACGTTTTCCATTACGGACTCCACGTGGAACAGATGCACGCGGCGCAAGCCACGTTTACACGCTAACAATCGCGACTAACTATTGGAAAGTACAATCCGCGGTATTTTCTTACGAGGAGGAAAAATTGTGGCATTTCCTGAGGAAATTCGTTCGGGCGTCACAGAAATTAGGTCTTGCTCTCCATCTTATTTAATTCGCGCTCGTAATTGCGTTATGAAACGGAAAAGGCGGAAGAGTTGCGGAAAAGAAGAGATACAGTTTCTTTAAAATTTAGGATGATGGAGATAAAAATTTCTTCTATAAACTGTGATACATGTTGTGAAGTGGCTTTTTAGAGAAAAATACAAATATTGATATTAAAAATATTTTTTAATACCAATTTTTAAATAGACGTGAAATATATTGTATTAAAAAATAAATATATTAAAACATGAAATATTATATTTTATATAAATGCGAACTCTACAATTACTTTATCGTTATTTAATGAAAACCATGTTTTGAAATTACAAACTAATTGCCGGCAACGTTTTTCATTTAAACATAAAGCTACAAAATAGGGAGAAATATTTGTATAAATACGGTAAACGCAGCGCGGTTGCACTTTTAATCTATAGAGCACAAGAATTCTAAAGATCTCATTAAACGCATTGCATAAGATGCCACCGAAAACGCAGGGCTTCTCATTTATTATTCAAGTATAATATTGAATAGTGGTACCGTATTTCCTATCGCCTTTGTTCACGATTTCCATTGTCTCCTTCTTTATCGTTCACTCTATGAACCTTCCACGCGTATTTGCGTAAGAACCAAACGAGTGTAATGGCGTTCTTGTGTTGAATGCTGTACGCTCGACAATGTAATCAGATTCGCGAAAAGGCCTATTGGTCCTTTGTACATGGACGGTCTTTGTCGTATAAATCTAATTTCCGACGTCTTGCACTGTAGTACAAAACAGAAACGCACGCACGCGTAAGTGCAAATTATTGCATTGGACGTTTAATAACGCAATCAAGTTTAAAAAAACGTGCAGATTTTTTAATAAATTTGAATTTGACGTAAAGAGCTTTCGATAAGTCACCATTCCTTTTCGCAATAGTTTAACATCCGACATCAAATTTTGGTGTAAAATAATACGTTTAAAATTATAACAAATACGAATATTTATTTAAAAGGTAATAATTAGATATAGTTGTTTTTCTATTCCAGATAATTTTTAGATCTGCACGCTTGTATATATTTAATTTATCTATTTATTGGAAAAATAAGCATCGACATTTTATTTAGTTTACATTTACATAAATAAAAATTGTCAATAAATGAAGAAGGGTATTTTTTGATTTCTGGGTATTTAAATATCATACAGCTGACGCACACACACAACACATACACACAAGCATTTAATGAATAAAAAATTTTTATTTAATCGATTGATAATATAAAGCAAACAATTTGGTAAAATTGAAATGGGCTTCATATATTTATTATTCAATCTTGCAAAATGTAACTCGGCACTTTGTGGGTAATATTATTTGAAATTTGCATTTAAATACGACGGCGCGGCGTTTTAAATTCCGTACATATAACTCTCAGAGTTATATGTTTATTGCAGTACATTTTTTAATTTGCATAAAAATTTAATTGTTAATTAATATTAGAGAAATTACGATCTAACACTTCACGATTTATTGAGGATCTTTATGTTACTCTCTGAAGCTACTTTAATCAGAACAACTTTATAACGAAAAATAACTACCGCAAACTCTTTCTTTAACATGATAAAATGGTGACTTACGAGCCGTAATACATATATTTAGGATTTATCGTATCGAAAGTTTCTTCCCAGTCTGTTGCCGTGTACATGTCCCAAAGACTTTTCGCACGATCGAACTACCAGGAGATTCTACATTCGTTTGAGATCATGTAACGTGTACTATCGAGACGATAGTATCGAGAGTATGATATATAGCGGCTGAATTTATTTCCACATGAGCACTGTCACGTTCTACAAAATCTAAAAATATGGAAGGAAGGAATATTCCAAAGAAAGAAAGAAAAAAGAGATAGAGGAGGAAGGGACATCGTACTGACAATGAGATAAATGGCACTTTCTCTCTCAGCGAGAAATAAATTGCATATTTTTTAACAATTTTTATAATTTTTTCTAAGTTCGTCTCAGTGATTTAAAAAAAACAATATTGACCTTAACTATATAATTGAAGTTCTATGTACTCGTATATTGCATTGAGAAAAATGTCTGGCTGGATTAATTGGAATTCTGGTTGAAAATGGATGAGAATTAGAATTAAATCTATTAGAATTTTAGTTGAGATAACTGGAAAATTTTTCTGATCACTGATTTATCATATTTTCAACCAGATATTTTTCTCATCTATTTTCAGCACACATATACACACACAAGGAGGAATAAAGTATTACTATTATTTTAAGGAATACTTTATTATTATACACATTACTTCTCGTTATTACTATTATTTATAGTAAAGGGTCTAACCGATCACAGAGCTACTTTATTGATTCTCGTGTATTATTTTTATTATAAATACGATCTTCCTTAATGATACATTGTCAAAGATATTTCATGTTAACATTGAGTTAGTTTACACCTTAAAGATATCTAATTATCCGTTAATGCATAATAATATTCGGACATACTATTTTATGTTTATAACAGCTAGCAGTTTACCTCATCTAGGTTGCGTATAAAGAATATACCAACAACTAGTTATCTTTCACTTAGTTTCCTTCATCTGATAAAAAAAGAGTTACAGTTATTCGACTGTGTACTATTCTGACGAACGTTAGCCTCATTAAAGATTACACATTAAGATTCTGCCTATTAAAAGTTGTAATCAAGTCAGATAGATAGTTGCCTATCAAATCAATTCAATTATCTGACACATTTTAATAACATTTATGTAATATTTATAATAATTATACTTACATAAATATATATTATAATTAAAATATATATAAATCTTCAAAGACATTTATTTATCTTATCTTTTATAAAATATATAAATAATTTATATTCACATGATATAATATTGAAGTTGTCTTTTACTAAGCTAATTATTCAGCTGAAGATACACTTTCGTAGATTTCAATGTATTAGTACATACAAAATATTGAGAAATTTAAAAATTATTTAGGAATTGAAAAACAGTATAAGTTAATAATTTGTTAACACTAATATTAATACAGGATCTGCTCTCTTATTTTAGGTCCCGAAGGCGTAGCGGTAGTGGCGTGACGGACATACACTCTCAGCAACAGCAGCAGCAATCGCAGTTGCAAGAGAACAACAACTCGCGCGAACAACAACTCGTGCGAACAACAGGCTCGCGCGACGCGAAGAAGCCGCAGGAGGGACTGGGGCCCGATGAGATGTGGGCCCCTGGCGCCCTGGGCCATCATCGGGAGCTACCTGTTGATGTGCCCGACACCCTTCTACAGAAGGCCTATCCCAACAAGGTAAAAAACTGCTCTTCCGATTATAGGAACGGGCTACAGCATCGTCCCCGTAGCGCTAGCGACCTCGACCTCTCCCTAAACCTTAAAAACGAGACCCTAAAGACGCGCACCATCGCGGACGGACGCGCTAGACTCGTATCGAACGATCGCACGCACGACGTCACCGATCTGGCAGCCAGAACAATTAACATCCACAACGGTCTTCAGCCCTCCATGCTGAAGATCGAACTGAATATCGAGGACGAGGAGGAGAAAGTGAAAGCCACCAGGAAGAACCTGGGATTCGACAAATATCACGATAGCCCGATCGCCACCGGCTCGCCAGATTTGAAAAATACCTTTAAAGTTTTCCAAGTGTACGCGAACGTTGACGAGGACGCAGGTGGACAGAAGGAGTCCAGTGTTGATATTGAAGACGACTACCCTTTTGCTAAGGAGGATTATCCCACCATGCTGAAAACATGTAGTGACGATTCCGCGAGCCCGAGAAGCTCATCGGGTAGATCGGACAGTACCGCACCCCTTGATACCAGTCTAATGCTCAGGCATAGCAAAAGTCATAAGGACTCCCCGACTTATGACGTCCGAAGGATAGACCTCGGTTCTCCTTGTAGATCGGTGATACCCGATATCAAGGTGGCCCCACTATTTGGCCGAACCCGAGACGCGACTTCCTTCGACAATCCGGCTTATGGATTAACGGACTTGCAGGATCTTCAGGGGCTACTGCGATCCGACGAGATGTCAGACTTAACCAGACTGATTGATGAACAATCTCCAATCCCAAGAACTCCGCAAGACCAAGATAAAGTCTCGCCTGTTCGTGTCAAGGATCAGCAGATGGAATCTTCCCAAACCGAGCCATCAAGCAAGTCCGGCAAGAGCCCGACGAAACGTCGTCCAAATGACGAGCGAACTAAATTGAAGACTAAAACTCGCAGTCTCGATATCGAGGAATTGATTCGAGCTGGTTCGACCGACGATCTTCTCGGCATCGAATTAAGCGATCTCTCCTCTTCGTCCTCGTCCCGGCAGCGGACAAAAAAGAAGCGACATCAGCAGATCTCCAGCGGCTATTCCACACTGAGGAGCGAGGCCTCTGGCGATCTCGAGCATAACGCGGACCGCAGCTTCCTCGTGGTGGGCAGAAGGCCTTACCGCGAGGTAGCCGTCGATTGTCCACCGGATTTCGTGCCGGTCACCAAGTGCCACCCGATATACCCACCGCCGAATAAGACCCCCGGCAACAGCAAGCACAACACCCTCGAGCCAAAGCGCGATCGCGCGAGTGTCATTAACGAGGCGAGTTCGTGCGCTGCGACAACGACGATGACCATGACGACAACCACGCTCGTAGCCTCCCCTCGCCTCTCCCTGAACGATAATAGCTTCACGACGCTGTCTAGTGCCGACAGTAGCGCTAAAGAGACCGTGGTCGCGCGCTCGGTAGACCATAAGCACAGCTTGAAGAAGGTAAGGTCCAAAGTCAAGAGCTTAATATGCGACAGCTTACAGTCTATCCTGCATCACCAGCACGGTGATTCGCTTGGCGCTTACAGCACGCAATACCTTAACTCCCTAATGCAGACTCAGCCTAATGATCCTGTTCTGCGATCGTTCGTCATAAACACTGAAAATTCCAACGAGCTCTCGCAAATGCGTAACTCTCTTAACGAACAAGATAAGAATTTTTTCCAAAATCGACAAATCGAGAACTCCTATTTCGAGGATGATTATCACGACGTTTTCTTACGAGGAAAATTCTCCCGCGAGAACGGCGAACGTTCGTCGTTATCCTCCGTTTTTCCAGAAGAGCCTTCCAAAAATTGGCGAAATCGCTTTCTCGGAGAAGTTGATAATAATAAAAAGACCTCTTCCCCTTACCTAACTAACGATTCGATACGCTTAAGTGTTTTTCCTACTTTTAAAAACAAACCGTGCTCTTCTCAAGAAGAACTCTTTAGCTTCGAGAAGGAAACCGAAATGACTAACTTCTCCGATTGTCCGAACGAGATTAGCTTGTTGCCGGAGGAAAATATCTCGTTTTTTAAAGTCAGAGATAACATTCACGTCCAATCGTCCATCCAAGAAACGAATCAGAATTCTCGGAATTCCCTATGTGAGCTCTTCTCTGCGGAGCGACGCATTATCAGTCGATTATTCGACGACACGCGTTGTTCTAATGATTGTCAGCCACAAGAAACGGAGCGACGTCGTGACTGTCTCAATGATTCGCCGATTACACAAAATCAAAGAAATACAAGGCTATTTTTGAAGTACGAATATTCCAAATTGTTCGTTCCATTCATGCTTCCTAACAATGGCGTGAAATTTCACGTTAGTTGGAGAAGCATGTCCGACCTTTCGAATTTAACGGCCGATCGGCAGTCGATCATAAGGAGAGCTTTTTCGCTCCCCGACTTTGTTTCAATACCCAAAATTATGTCGTCGTCCACCATTGGGTGCGATAAAATTGATCACCCGATCGTCCTACGTGACGGATTTTTTGACGAACGTATGAAGCAGAACCTACCAAAATCATCGATGCACACTGTGAAGAACCATTCGCTCAAGTCGCACGTCGACGCTCTTGAACAGCAGGTAAACCACAATGGACTTCGCTCGAGTTTAGAAACTTTCGCTCATCGAGTAATTCGAACGGCGTCCTTGCACTTTGGAAATTTGTACGTCTTGCAAAGTAACTTCGTGGTTGATTGTCTCTTGAATTACTTGATTAAATTCATCGTCATTCAAGTCCTATTTCTCGATGTTAAAGATCGTGATTTATCTATAAAAGAGATACTCTCGGAGAGACTGTAGAACAGTAATTTCTCTTTGCACGTGTTATGATCGTGGAAACTGTTACAATCGCGTTCACAACTTTTCAATACTTCCAGACCGGCTGCTGTCTGGGAAACGCAATATGAATTAAACTCTCTTTCATAAACCGTGATAATACGTGATACGTATAATATAGATCGAGATTAGACGTAAGATCTGTTGATTATAAATGACCGATAAAAGTGTTACTCTATTTGATTATACTATAGGTTTTATTAGATGGTTCAATAAAGACACAAATTTGTGGAATATCCTTTAGAGAACAAGTTTATGTAATATCTTTAAATTTGTGTAATATTCTTTATCTTGATAAGACCATTATTGCACATGATAAAATGTGCGAAGGTCGCCGTTCAGTTAAACACGCAAAGAAAAGCATGCGTAGAGAGGATTGTGGAATATTTAACATAAGATCAACAGCATGGTAAAGTAGCCCCACAAGCTGCGCAATAAAAATAGTGAAGTAAAATGCTCATGTAAGTGTAAATTACGTGCATTATCTTAATTAACATATTTCAAAATAGCGAACGAAGGAAATAAATAATTATAGAGATTCCAAATAATAAATCTTATCGTCTTTAATAAAAACAATTGATTTAACATTAACTGCAATAAAAATAAAAATACGTTATCGTCTTCGATATAATTATATTGATACGATAATATTGAATGAATCACCGAGTCATTCAAGAGACGGCATTTTACTTCTGCATTTTTTGGCGTAATCTCGCTTTTGACATGCTTTCTTTTAGTGTATATCTCGCCTTATCTTCTTCTTTCTCTCGCTTCTCTAGCTTACGTCAACCTGCTCTTTTTCTCTTCCCTCTCGTCCTTCCGCGTGCCGCATGCAAATACGCGGTTTTACAAAGCATCTTCGACTGAAGTGTACGAATAGTTTGTGTCTGAAAATAATGGTAAAAAAGAAAGGAATGTGAAACGATAAGAGTTGGGAAAGGCAAAGTAGTTTGCGCGGTGTCAGGCACGTGGGACCATTAATACGAGCTGTTTCGGAATGGATTTTTAGGCCGGTCTCAATGGGGTCAAGCCTGCCATTCCACCGCGCGATCAGAAGAGGGCACCTGCTAGACCGCCGAAAGATAATCTGCGCCTCTCCACGCAGAACAATAATGTTGAGACGAGCGATAACGCCAACGCCGAGCCGACGCAACAGCAGCTTCACTCTATCAGGAAATATCAGGTAAGATATATGATGTCGGCACTCTCTCGCACTCGCGTTGTATCGAGTCACGTAAGCACGCATGATAAGCATTCGAGAAGCGCGGACAGGCTCTCTACACCAATCCCGTGTTGAATTTTGGAGGACGTGACGGAATGTAAGTATCGACGTAAGAAAAAAAAAGAAAAGCTAGATGTGTGTACCTAACACGTATTCCAAATTGTTATTGTTAACATACAAAAGCACATTTGTTAAGAGAAACAAGCTCGAGTCAGTAGGCAAATTGCCTAAATTCGGTAAGTGCTACCACCATACACAATGATAGACTGCACATTCTTACATAAAATTGTCAGGATATTAGTTCAGGAAGAATGACGTAGCTTGAAGCATAATCTTTCTTTCTTTCTAAAGTACAGAGTCGAAGAAAAATGGTAATAGAGTCGAAGAAAGATTTTATGCGCTCAATTCTTTTTGACTGAGCAGAAAGAGAATGAGGTAGTTCGAAGCATATCGCTCTCTTTTTCTAAAGTATATCAAGTCGAAGAGAAATGCTGATAGAGTTGAAGAAAGATGCTGATAATTCTTTTTCACAGAAGCTAAGAGCAGGGAATGCGCAATGTTGCAATCTGTATCTATCATATTACATCTATCAGTGTTTTACGAAACGTTTATTTTATTATTGATATTGAAGCCACGTCTGCTCAAAAAGAACGAATTCGATGTAATCGATTTCGCTGTACGTAAATTATGTCCAACCGTGATAATCGCCACGAAACGCGTTGGTTTTGCTTAATGCATAATAAACATTCTCGTAAAAAGGAATCTTTATGCGCGAGACACGATTTACATATTGAAGAAGGGTTGACCGCGTAATATCGCCGGTCTAGCTCGTAAACTGGGCACGAGGCTTCCGTCGGTGTTTCGTCACGACGATAAAACTGCACTTCTTCCTTTCGCCGGAATTTACGATTTTTACCCTGTAACCAGATTAAGTCGTTAACGGGCGCGTGTCGGTCCGGGAAAAGCAGGATTTTTTTTTGCGGGGCGAGCTTTTAACCGTGAGAATAGCGCAACAACTGTGGTTTAAGCAGTAGATCGCGTTGCGTAACGATACGAAGGCGGCAAATGACAGATCGTTATTTAAGAGGACGTACTACAGCTCGCTACTCACGTGACGCAGGAAATTGCGATGACAATGGTTATTATCGAGGCACCATTCGTGCCTCGCGCGACGTATAGCCGCGCCACACAGTTTCCGAATTCCCCGAGCCCAGGTTCGATTGATAAATGAGTCGCAACGCGACCTTGCACCAGCGGAAATTAATCAGACGCATTAACAGTACGTATCGTTAACAAGCGTTTGACAATTATTAAACGAACGTCGATCAACGTGGAAAATTCTTCATTCCGTTTATTCTCCATATGCGCTCGTGAAACACACGTGGCACTGAAACACCACTGGCTCGTTTGTTAATAAATGCAACTCGGCGGAAGATAGGAGAGGCAGAGGAAACTTCTTTTTGAAATTAAAATACGCGACGCGTCAAGATCCATTTGACGGTCCCGCTCGAATAATTTGTCACTCCTGTTGAACTTCGTTTCATCGAACCGTTGAAAATCGGGAGGAAACTCTTCGTGGAAAATCGTAGATGAGATCTGGATATGCTCGTGAATCGAGTGCGGCGCGCTTGAAATTCATACAATCTCAGTATCTGTAAGTGTGAGAAATGCCAGAACCCCTTACGTGACTGGCGCGTCGCCGGGGCCGCGTGAGTCTGTTTATCTTATGGAATCCTCACGCCACACTCTTACCTGCCTTAAGTCAAGTGCGGTCTGGAATGTAAAGAACCCCTGCAATATAGTCTAAGATTACATGCCTGAAGTGTAGCGTTACGAAGTTTTCGATAGGTGTAGACGTAGGGTGACTCGCGCAGGCCTGCTGCATTCAGCTCTCTTGGTCCCTTCTTCTTTTTTTTATACAGCTTTTCTAACCTCAGTTTCTTGATCTGCCTCAAGCAGACGGAGAGCCCATTTCAGACTTCCAATTCGGTTCGCTGCTCTAATATGTCGCCGCAGCAGGTGTCCTAAATTCAACACATTTTTCTTTACTTTCCCGTTTTTATGAAAGTCATTAGTTGCAATGTATCGACCGAATAGCCAACATATCTAACATTTCTTTTCAATTTACATTTTGATATTCCTATTACTATCAGCTATGCTATTTAAAAATCCTTAGCAAATGTGAATCTATGAAACATCGCAATTTCCTCCCTCAATTCAATTTTATTCATTATTCTATTTACAAAATTCCATAAATTAATTCTTATCAAGATGGAATCATATGTCGGAACATTGTAGGTACATCGCGTCGCTCAGAGATCGTCCAGACTTACATAAAAGACTGAAAACACGGTTTTTTCCCGGAACCCATTTTGTTGTCATTTGTTTTTAAGTTTACACATACACATGACATTTCTAACATACTCTATGTTAGCTGTTGGTGTTTTCTAAGTACATTGTGCAGGAGGGCAAGAGCTCGAGCACAGGAAACCTTATGTCCACTATCGAGGTAAATAGGGCTTCACTGAGATATGTTTATCCTCATACGTAGCATCGTGCAGCAAAACGTGGTGCTTGTTATATAAATGAAAATTAAGAGTCGTATGTTTTGCTGCCAGCTACTGCGGCATTGCAGATAAACATTTTTTATCGGACATGCCATACGCATCGCAATTTCACGACGGTAAAACGCAACGGCTGACTAATGACGACTTTATCAACTGACACCGGTGGGCGTAGATCACGAATCACGAATAGTATCGCCGCTAGCATGACAAATTCATATTATTTGATCACAAGTAGATATTACTGAGTCATTAAGAAAATAAAAAATTATTGTAAATTAAACTTTGTTAAATATAGCGATGCACATACATCGAAAATAAATTTATATAATAAAAATATAGAATTTTTTTAAGTATGAATATTCAGTTACAAATTCTTTAAGACTTGGAAACCATTATTTTTTATAATATTTAGAAAATTTCTTGGTCAAATATTTTACATTCTATTTTATTTAATTTATTTAATTCATTCATGCATTCATATAATGCGATTATATAAATTTTAGAAAACACTATAAGAACGATTCACTATTATAAAATTATTGAATACGAGATTTATGCGAAATAATAAGATGTTTCTTATCAAAACAGATTTTGTTAAAAATACTTTTGTAGATTAAAAATAATTACAAATATTATTTGTAGATATACAGTCTAGAATATATGAGAGAGAATTGTATCGATGTGTATTGTGCCAGATTTAATTGACTGGAAACTAAAAGCTCTATGTTTCTGAATATAAAGCTATCTCGAAATAATTGATGAACAGGTATGCATTCGCAAAGAAAATCAATTGGGTCTTAAATTTATCATTCAAGAACTTCTTATTTTTCGCAAGTTGCAACCGCATTAAGTGGCTTATAAATTTTTCAGCCAATCGTATGTATTTGCGACACTTGTTACATACAGCTGATGCGCACAGCAATTATTTCACAGTCTCTTACATAATCAGCATAATTATTGTAATACCTCTTAATAAGATAAGATTTCTTTAAGATAATCTAACCAATTTTGAATTAAAATATTATTTCTTCTAACGTATATTGTAGACTATAGATACCTAAACATTACATAAATTACAGAAACAAAAACGTGATAAATTTTGGTAAAATTTTCTCTAAACTTTTTTTTGTATTCTTAAAGATTTCTATTATTTATTATATTCACGATTGCATCTAAAATATATTTAAGATAAAAATGTATTTAATCTTTTAAAAATAGTATGTAAAATATACATGTAAAGGGTTCTATTTCATTACGAGATTTCAATTTTCATAAACATTTTTATATTTTGTAAAGGCAAATAGATAGCAAATAGATAGGTGATATTGCACTTACAGGAACAGTTACGAAAACGGAAAGATGAGGAGGAGAGACTGGAAATGCTCAGCCATTCTCTCCGTGGCTCGAAAAAGCTCCAAGCTTTGGAAAGCCACGCGACGAGTCTCAGTGGCCAGGAAAATTTTGCTTACGCACAGGACGAGGTGACCACCGGCATCAGTCGAATTACACACGCTACTCCTAATGCAGTCCAAGAAGTAGAGGAGCCGCCCAGGCCTCTCAGTAAGTAATTTTTCTTTTTCAAATTCTCGCGGATTTCTCTAAAAAGAAAATACCAAAAAAGAAAAACATAAAAAGAGAAAAATAAATTCAATTAAAAAAATTAAATTTAATACATATTGTACCCTTTATTACGTTAATATTTAAGCTTTTTCAATTTTGTATTGTTTTGTACGTAGGAGAGAAGTACTGAATGCGTGTCAGTTGCCTAATCGTACTTTTTGCAGCATGTTGCAAAAAAACTTCCAGCTAATTAACTTATTATTGATAGAAGGTAAAACGTGTAATAAGTAATAATAGGTACTTGAAATATCAAGGTACAATTTCTAATCTTCGTTTGCGTACAAATCAATTCTAAATGAAAAATATAATAAAAAAATAGATTAAGGGATACGTATTCGGCAACTCTCCCCTACCTTGTTTCAAGAGAATTTTAAACCTCTTCTATCCCATTTGCATTAAATGGCTTGCATTTAATTTTATGAACAAACGCGAAAGCGGTATTTAAAGAATTCTGAAAGTTGCTGAAAATTGAATGCTACTAAATATAGTTCCTCGCTCTTCCCTTATAGCCCGCTTGTGTAGCGTAAATAAATAGCGGGTGCGGCGACACAGGATTCCGCAAGGAAGTTTCTAACAAGTATACCTTTCATATTTCAGCGTACGGCGAGGTCGTTGCTACGCTGGAGAGGCTGCAGCTCCAACTGCGGAATATTTCAGGTGCTCTCGGTATTTCGGGTCCAGGTGTCGAAGCCGAGCTCGAGGCAGTCCGGACACTTTTAGTACAGAATCGATTTGCGTCTGCTCTAGCGACTCGTCATACTTTAAAAAGTCGGTTAAGGGCGAGCAAGATTTTCAAACATCATGCCGATGACGCATCGAGTTTAGCGCGAGATGTATGTAAAATTGATAATTTATAATATAATATAATAAAAGAGAGAGGAAATCTATATAACATTATTCACGTTATTTAAAACGCCATTCAATACATTTTTGTTTACTAATTAAAAATTCTTCTCACACTCGTAAAGCTAAATGGTGTACTACAACATTATATGTACGTAATTTAATTAGAATAATGTGCAGAAGCTTATTAAATTGTTTCCTCAAATATTTTAATAATAATAATGATGTTTTTTTTGTACTTTCTATGCAACATTTAATTAAATAGAGACCTTTTCTCAATGCATTTTAAACGTAAAATGTATAACTCGGAAACCGTATCCCATGTTACGTATTTTTAATCATTTGTACAACATATCTAATGTGATCATATCTTCTTATGTTCTCAAATATGTTGTTATTATTAACTTGTTCTCCAATTTATGTCATAATTTTAATGCTTTGGCGTGATATTTCAGTGCGTGGATATCCTTGAAAAATGGCAATCGTCGACTGCAACAGGTGTCGGTGGAGCAGAAACAATAGCCGATGTGGAAGAGTTAACGAGTATTCTAACGAGTTACGACATGGAGGCTCTGCTTCTGGCACACGACTCTATCGTCTCATACGTGGAAGGTTTACAAAGGAAGCAAAGCCCGTCCTCTCCACCCAGTGGCCCGCCCAGTCCAACGTCTAGTTGGAAAGATTCCCGTGTAGTCGACAACATTAAAATTATCCGAATTGAGAAAACTAACGAACCTCTGGGTGCTACCGTCAGAAACGAAGGGGATGCGGTAATTATAGGTAATCATATTTACATGCAACTATCATTTCCTCTATCTCTGCTAAAATTATACTGGCGATTTATTGCATACTCTCTTATCGTATAATCTTATCGTTAAATTCTGAGAATATTGCTTGTAACACTAATAATAATTCTGTTTTGCAAGGACGTGTCGTTCGCGGTGGTGCGGCAGACAAGTCAGGACTTCTACACGAAGGCGACGAGGTTCTCGAGGTAAACGGAGTAGAAATGCGCGGCAAGACTGTCAACGAGGTTTGCGATATTCTCGCTGGTATGCAGGGTGGTCTCACGTTCTTGGTACTTCCGGCTCCAACGAGCCATAGAAATAATTTAAGGAGAGAAGAAGCGACACAGAAAGAAGTACGACACATACAGAACATATCCTGATATATTTAGCACATTCTCGTATTAGAAATATGGACTACCGTATCCGTGGATCTTGAAACTAGAACAACCAATATTACCGGTGGGGTGGCGTTGGAGGTGAAAGGGCAAATGTCAGATAGGGAAAACGTTTGTCCTTCAACTTCCAAGATACGCAAATGACATTGATCGTTTTACATTTGAACGTCTTTTTACGCGATTTCGATATTTGTAGTTTAAGAAAATCAATATTATTTAAGTCACTTGGTCATTCGCTTAATTAAAGTTTGTTCAGTGCACCTACGTTAACTGAGCCCACGTATGTGAACGTATGTATGTACAAAAGCGAATGTCATATATCTATAAGCATATTGCTGCATATGTCATGTGTTCTTTTATCTTAAGCACACGGCATTGATACTTGTAAGTTACACGTACGGAATTATCTATAGATCGACGCTAATAGGAAACAGCTGTTCCGGCTTTATTGCACGGACATAACGTAGGTATAACATGACATTTGTAACCATAAAGCTTTTACCGTCTGCATCTAGATACATATACGAGCGCATTTCGATTACGATCCCGAAGAAGACCCGTACATACCGTGCAGAGAGTTGGGCGTGAGCTTCCAAAAGGGAGATATACTCCACGTAATTTCCCAAGAGGATCCTAACTGGTGGCAGGCATATCGAGAGGGTGAAGAGAAGGACCAGACACTGGCTGGTCTAATACCTAGCAAAGCGTTTCAACATCAGTGAGTAACTATAATCGAGGATTATAATCGCGCCAATACTTGAACACCGCATCCTATTTAAAACGATATCTCGTTTTACCTTTGCAGGAGAGAATCCATGAAGCAGACGATAGCCGGCGACAAATCGACGATGCGAGGTTCGAAGAAATCCAGCACGTTATTATGCGCGAGAAAAAATCCAAAGAAAAAGAAACGAAATAAGTTCGGCGCGAACTTTAATGATGATGGATATCCACTTTACGCGACAACTGCCATAGACGGTATGTAAAGCCTAAATTGGCTGACTCAATGTCAATTACAAATTGTTAAAGACTATTTTTAGACGCAAAAGTTTTCTCGCAGATTACGACAGCGAGGAAGTGCTGACGTACGAGGAACTCGGCTTATACTATCCCCGTGCAAATCACAAGAGGCCAATTGTACTCATCGGACCACCCAACATCGGACGACACGAACTCAGGCAAAGATTGATGCAAGACAGCGAACGTTTTGCTGCAGCGATTCCACGTAAGTTTCATTTTTTAAATTTAATTTAATTTGATTTATTGCACTCTTGAAATATTATAATACTAACAAAGACGTATGTACATAAGTATGAGGTACATACAAAAAGAGTAAAGCGCTAGCAAATTAAGTTGCTGTTATAAAGCTTACCTGATAAACTTGAAATTAACATGATTGACTAAGATAATATATTTTAGTATAATGAAGCTAAGATTATTATGAACAATTAAATAAATAATTAATCTACTGTGAAATATTTACCAATTTGGAAAAACCAATTTTTCTAAGGTATCTAAAAATTTAGCTAGATAGATCTGAAAATAATTTTGTTTGGACTATCAAAATAATTATGTAGGAAATTGAAAAGAATGAACAATGCTGCAAAAAGTTTTGACATTCTAGCAAGCAGTTCGAGCATGCATATTTTGATGGATCCAACAAAATTATTTTTAGATCTGTAATTAACTAAATTTTTAAATATTTTAGCGAAATCGTTCTTTTAATATAATTTTTTAAAAGAAATATCTCAACCTAAATAAAACATAAAAATAATCTAAATAATCCTGTTTTTTCTACTTGCAGATACAAGTCGTCCAAAAAAAGATTCCGAAATCGATGGGCAGGATTATCATTTTATTTCTCGTGCTCAGTTCGAGTCCGATATTCTTTGTCGGAAGTTCGTCGAGCACGGCGAGTACGAGAAAGCATACTACGGTACGTCCGTGGAGGCCATCAGGACAGTGGTTAATTCCGGGAAAATCTGTGTCTTAAACTTGCATCCCCAAAGTCTCAAGATCCTGCGAAATTCGAATCTGAAGCCGTATGTTGTGTTTATCGCGCCTCCGAGCCTCGAGAAGCTTAGGCAGAAGAGGATCAACAACAACGAAAGCTTCAAAGAGGAAGAATTAAAAGACATAATCGAGAAGGCCCGTGAGATGGAGGATAAGTATGGCCACCTGTTTGATATGCTTATCGTCAATAACGATACAGATCGAGCGTATAACCAGCTTCTCTCGGAGATTAATTCACTCGAGAGAGAACCTCAGTGGGTGCCTGCGTCTTGGGTTAATCAACCATCATCTTAAGCGGTCTTAGTCGCCGCGCTTTAGAGGAGCGTTTCTGTACGTATTTCAACGATGAGGATGGCGATCGAAGGCCAGTATTGCGGTATCTGTTTGCAAGACGAGTGCTTTTGCGCAATTTTCCAAGTAAGACTTCAAGCAAGTCTAATAGAAATTCGGAGAACTGATTCTTCTACAGGTGCCTGTTACATAGTTTTATGTTTCTTACGCAAATCTTAAATCTTCCCCGGTTATTATGTATTGCAAGTACTACTCGCCTGACAGAGTCTTCCGCGTGTGTTGTATTTTGGTGCCATGAAAATCACGGAGAATCCTCGGAAGTAATCTTCAAAGGGAGAAAAGGAAGAAGAGAAATAGAAAAAAGAATGAATGTTTTGCAAACAATTTTCACAATCTCTGTGACGAACTACTCCTCGACGTAGATTCTTGCATTTGTTATAGAAGAAAAAAAGAAAATATGGTGTTTATATACCATTGTGATGAGAGAAGACAGTTGTCGAGGCTCAGTTGCATCAATAATGTTTCGAATTTAAGCGAATACGTAATCAAATTGCGGACGATAATCGACCGAAAAACTTAAATTTAAGTTCTGCTTAAATTTCAAACAGGGTTGCTGCAATTTAGTCTACTTTTGGTACCTCGAGATAATCCCGACTGAAATAGTACGTTCGTACGTCGAAGTTTCAGAGGTATTTACGGTTAAATTCTCATGACTGACCCATTCCGTAAGCGGTTAACATTATTATACATATTAGATACGCGAGTATACAAAAATTATCATCTCGGTGCGCTAAAGCACATCTGCCGAGCGTTTTGCTCTTTCTACATATTAGCCCGTTCTACGTGAGGAAGTGTACCTGACTTGATATGTCTCCTAACAGTGAAAAATTTCTAACTCGGGGGACTCGTGAAAATATCGTGTAATTTTCTATGGTCCACGTACATACATTTTGATAAATTTTGATAAGTAAAACCGGAGCTTCGATCCAGATTTTTTAAACGATTCTCATTCAACGTATAGCACGTCCGAATATATTAATGTGATTATATTATCAACACTCCACGTAATCTAATTACTTCTTTTTACGTTTATCGCGAATCAATCATACACACACACACACACACACACACACACACACACACACACATATATATATATATATAGAACTTTCGCATACGATCATAGAGAGTTGCACGTTTTTTCACATGAAATTTCGGTTAGAAATTTTTGGCAGTCCTGTTATTCTAACCAAGCGGAAGCTCTTGTTATAAAGGAAGAAAAAAAATTCCAAAACGACGTTCCCACAAGCATAACGACGCACGTTTCTTCGAACGCAAGAGGAAACGTCTGCGATGTCGAAGAAGGCGAAACTCGCTAACGTTTTACCGTTCGCCCTAGACATTTCGTGTTTGTTTAGAGAGCAGAAACTCGTGTTTCGAACCCGTAGATTCGTTAAACGCAATAGACTTAGGCTCGACTGTGGTTCGGTATACAAGCTTGTAAAACCTATTCTACAACGTGCTTTTTGTTTTTTGTTTCTTGATTTTTTCCTCTTTGTGATCGTTTTATCGACAGTTGTAGTTCTTGCTAAATGTTTCTTCTGAAATTCGTTAATTTTTATCTCGAGCGACAGAAGACGAAAAAGGAAAGCAAAAACACTAGAAGTAAAAAATATATAGCAAAAAGCAAGAAACGGAAAACAAAAAATACAATGTAGAATAGGCTTAAGAGCTCCGGTAAACTTGAAAAAGATGTGTTGTTCGTATAGAGATTGTGGGCTACTGTGTCGTGATTAGATCAACTGTGTAATGTTAGTCGATCCAGAATGAACACGATAGATATTAAATTCAATGTGAAACAGTCGTAAAAATGGACGCGCGACTTAGAGAGATGTGTCTACGGTGGAAAAAAAAATCGTTATTTCAATTTTTAGCTATTTAAAATCGATCTTCTAAGAGCCAATCAATGCATGACGGTTCAATATCGTGCCAAGTATCAGACCGCATGTGAAAGGACGCAAAAAAGATGTGCCAAATAATCCTGGATTATTTCCAGATGAATTCAAGTTTTAAAATGCGCTCAAGAGGCACCGTAGAATTTGTCATTATATTGATTATGTAAATAATTGTGCACTTATGTATAGAGAGAAAAGGAAGCGAGAAAGAGAGAGAGAGAGAGAGAGAGAGAGAGAGAGAGAGAGAGAGAGAGAGAG